TAAAGCAAACTATTTATTTTTATGAATAATAAACGTCTTCAAAACTTCACCGCAAGGCCAATTTACAGCATGCATCCGAAAATTCATCGAAACATCCACAGAAAAAAGTTTTATAGGCTACTATAAAGTATGACAACAAATTCAAGCGTCAATATAAGATAATAAAGCCAAGCACACATTAAGTACTTAGTAGATAAATGTTTAACGTAATATATACAGTAATTATTAAACATATGATAGCAAAAACATTACAGACTACTCACCGTGCTCTCTCTTTGTCAATAACTCCGCCCCTCGATTCCGTTTTGAGGTAGATCCTTGTGTTTTTTGTTTAGAAGAGCCTCAAACCATTGAACATTAATTTTTTTTCTTGTCCAGTCACATTGAAGTTCTGGCAGGATCTTTACAGCTGGCTAAATTTTGATATTAACACTGATATTCCATCACTAAATTTGTTTCAGGTTTTGGTTTTTGGTTGTGCAGATGGTCTTTCGAAAAACATGTCATTGATGTTAAACATTATTATTACAATGGGTAAATATCATATACACAAAAGTAAGTGGAATAACAGTAAACCCTCTTTAAATTGCTTAAAAAAATGAATGTAAAAAATACTTAGAATCTTTAAAACACTTATCCAAAGATAATCAATCCCTTGGGGAATTGTATAAAACCATGTATGAGTCTCCTTCCTTTTAAGACTGGTAAGATTTTGTACCTTATTTTTATTTATTGTTTTTTTCCCCTCCTTGCAACCCCCTAAAATGTTTAAAGAATGTTTGTTTTGTTTGGTGTTATTGTATGTAGATATATATATATATATATATATATATATACACACACACACATGGACATTTATGTATGACGGAGATGTGATTGGTAAAGTGTATATTTTGTCATATGCATTTTATTGTTCACCTTTTGAGTGTGTAAATTGATACTGTTCAATAAAATAAAAAATTTAAAAAAATCCGCCCCTCACTTCCGGTTCTGTGGCTGCGGTTCTGAAACTGCTGGTGCTGCGGGTCTGCAGCAGGATATAATTGGAGATACAGCAGCAGATGCCAATATTCTCCTGTGTAGAGATGTGGACTTGAAACCACTCACCACTAGAGGTCAACACACCATCACATAATGTGAAGTACAAGCAACAATTTCAGCATGCCACTAGTGTCCAAATCTTCAGCACAACTAGTATTATACAGCTCTGTGTGTGATTGCTTTTCCTGCTGTGATCCATTATTCCTCTCTGTGCTCCACCATATTCCCTGATCATCACAACTGCTGAGACTTTCCCTGCTAGTGTACAGATTATGTAATGAATTTGAATGAATTATCATTATTAGACAGAATGCTTTTGCATTACATGAATTAGATACAAACATTTAATCTACTAACTAACTTATCTGATTCATTCGTAAGTTTGTAATATAATTGAATTAAATAATCAAATTATGCATACATCCAACGACTATATGTGCAATATTTCCAAATAGTTAAAAATTGCTCACAGAATATAATATATTTTTGTTCATTCACACTCTTCCATTCATTTTATTTTGAAACACGTGAGGTTTGTTTTATATATTAAATATGAATAACAATGTATTCTCTTTTTTTGCTGTAATGTGTTACAGTGTTTGTATGAATTAATGAATATTAAGTGGATGTCTGGTTGAGAAATGTATGGGGTCGCGCGCAGATCTGTGGGGTGTCGCGAGCGCTTGCACGGCAGCATCATCACGCGCAGCATCTTTCGCCCACCGATATCCCTTCATTTCACTTCATTGTTTCTTCTCAGACAAAAAGAGCGTTTACTACCGCGTTGCATCTGGATATTCTGCTCTCCTGGATAACCGTGAGGGTATTTGTGCGGCTGGATTGGAGCGTTTTCATGGAAAATGGCGAGATGGGCTCACGCATGTCTGCTGCTGATGATGGGGATTTTCAGCGGATCGTGGACCGCAGTGGACGCACTCACATTTCCACAGCATTACACGTAAGAAACGCTCACATTTTCACAGGATCATATGAAGGAATCAATCATTTCCACAGCATTACACGTAAGACACGCTCTGTAAGATGTCCATTTCCACAACGTTACACGTCAGATATGTAATATTATCCACAGCAATACACCTATGAGAAATTTCCGCAACGTTACGTTTAAGAAATGTAAATTTACACAGAAATACACACAAGAAAAAGCCCGTTTTCAAAAGATACGATCATTTCCACAACATGTATCAAACGCTCATTTCCACAGCAATGCACGGACAAGAAATGTCAGTTTCCACAACGTTACAGTGTAACAGATTCTGGGAAAGAAAAGCTCATTTCCACAACATTACACGTAAGAAAGTAATTTACACAGCATTACACATAAGAAAAACTTATTTCCACACGCCGTTACACTTAAGAAATACTAATTTCCACAAAATTACGCATAAGATATAATCATTTCCACAGCATTACATACGAGAAACGCTCATTTTCTCAACGTTACATGTCAGAACAATTAATTTCCACAACATTATACATATGATAAACTCACATTAGCACACATTTAAATGTTTGTTGAAATTAACATGTTGTTCATACGTGTTTTGGGAAAATGTGAATTTACTAAGTTATACTTTGGGAACAAATTTGACCCCCATAAGTTATGTAAATATGGCTGAACCTCTCTTTGGGGTGGTCTTCAATAGAAAAAAAAAATCCAAATGTAATTTTTTTTTGTAAGGTTCATGTTAAATTGTAGTCATTATAGTTAGCTTTATATATAACAATCTATATTAGCTCATTTAGATAGGCGAATGTGTGTCTTCTAGCAGACAGTCAGCAGTGACATCAACTGTATCAATCTATCTATCTATCTATCTATCTATCTGTCTGTCTTCTGTGTCTTAACGTTGATCTTTCTCTGTAAAGTGAATATGGGTCACAGCAGCCCCTCATTTCCCTGTATCTCTGTCTGTGTCTCTAGGGAATGTGTGTCAGGTAGGCAGCAGAGAAGATCTCAGCTCTGTGTGTGTGTGTGTGTGTGTGTTTCTGGGCATGCTCAGATCAGCTGCTGAGAGTGCATCAGATCGTCTGAATCGCTGACACACACACCCTGATACACTCTCACCTCTACATATTGTGTAACACATGCTGCTAAACGTGCAGGAAACCAGAGCATGTGTGTGTTTACAGTAGCTGTGATGGAAAGCGGAGACTGAAATCTTGCTCTGCATTACTCTAGAATAGTGAAATGTCATCTATGATATTAATTTGCCAAGTGACCTTTATCCCCTTTTCAGTAACGTCAACAGCCATAAGTAGTAAGAAGACACAAGTATGCCAATAATTATTGTTTTTGCCAATATTTTTTCAATCATTAGTGCCATTTGATAACTCTCCTACCCAAATACTCACTTTTTCATCAGACAATGTGAAAATATAGACCTAATTAGTGTGATTATGGCCAATAACCAATATGATGGCTGATATTGTAAGTGTATGTATGTGTGTGTGTGTGTGTGTGTGTGTGTGTGTGTGTATATATATATATATAGAGAGAGAGAGAGAGAGAGAGAGTATCCAAAATTGTCCAGTCGTCTTATCCTCACAATTAACACAGATTATTAAAAGCTCGACCCATAGAGATTTCTCTAAGCGATCGCTGACGCTTATGATCTGCTCTTGTTAATTGACAGTTGCTATTTAATTAGGTTCAGAGTGTGGATGCTAAACGACCTGAACTTATGTAATATAACATAACTGCAGTCGAGCTGTAATCACGTACAAATCTGTTGTCGTGGAAACAGGTGATATTTGTGATCAGACTGCAGGGTTGTGATTTAACCGTACATGCTGTTCTGTAACAGAACCGATGGTTTAATGAAGCCGAACGGACCACACAGATGCTAAATAATTCATCTTCATCTGTAGACCAGGACTGTGATCCATTGAGCAGCACTGTTTGATTGTAGCCTGTGTGTTTGTGGACAGTATAAACACATCGCTTTCCTGTACATTGATTATATTGATCGGTTTAGCCAACTGTGAGGATATTATATCATGTTCTGTAACTGAATCTATGTGTAGTACGAATGAGGACAGTTCAGTTGAGGTCACTAAAAATAAATTGACATTACATTACATTACAGTATTGCAGAGAAATACAATCCATGTTAATGTTTTCTGATCATCATCATCGTATTGTTTATATTGTATATACAGTCAGTCGGGTAATTTGAGTTGGCGGTCATCCTGAGGAGATTTATTTTACGAAAAATCGGCTGATTATCCCACACACGGCAACCCAGATATTGATTTACGTAGAAATTTTACAATCTTACCTAAATAGTAGCAGGGCCGTTGTGTAATGCTGTGTAAATTGGTTGTCCTGCGAAACTGTATTGTCATACCGCCTAGTCCTACTCAAGGGGATGGCTCAAGTTGTTTCTAGGGATGGGTATCGTTAAGGTTTTAACGGTATTACTACTCTTACCGATACTGCTTATCGATTCGGTACTTTAACGGTATTCTTATCGGTACTTTTTTGTTATATATCAGCTGGCGACTCTGGTGAGATAGAATTTGCAAGATAATGTATATATAGCAATAATAAATGTATGTGTGTTTTATTAATTTTTTTAGTACCGATAGCAGAACCGTTAACGTCAGAGCTTATCGATACTCCGGTCTTTCATAATTTAGCCCCGGGACCGATTAAATACCGGGTTTCGGTACCCATCCCTAGTTATTTCACTGTCAACATTAAAGATTAACTCCTAAAAAAATGATATGTATCTGTTAGAGGGCTCTATGTAGAATTCAGAAACCCTTGTTATTAGCAACACCGGTGGCCATTAAGTGAGCTGTGGTCAGCAAATTATTGCTTGTGCTCTTGCAGACACTCCATAGTAATGCAAGCGAGCGACGGCTAATGTGATTCACGACATCATGTCGACAGATGAGGTTCATTAAAATTACACTGTTATGATCGTTTCGAGTCCTTCACATAAAAATTTGTCTACATGCTCTAATTTTTTACGTTTCCTTACATGCTGTTCACACATTGGCAGTAAAAAGCGATTAATACTTGAAAATCCTTTCATAAAGCCACTTTAAAATTTTGTCCATAGCAACAAGTAGCTAACTTTAGCTAGCAAGCTAACGTCACTTGTTAGCTAGCAAGAAAAGTTGTAGAGCAGCACAGCTTTTCCTTCTGCTCTGTAATAATATTCAGTGAGCAAATATCTGATAGTATAGGCCTATATTTTATTACATACTTAGCCAGTTTGCACTGAGCACCAAAACAGCTTCTTTGATTGTTTGTTTTTCTTTCTTTTTTTTCCTTTTGGAAGATGGAACCATGGATGAACTAAAGGGGTAGTTCACCCAAAAATGGAAATTCTGTCATTAGTTAATCACCCTCTTGTAGTTTCACACCCATAAGACTTCCGTTCCTCTTCTGAACACAACTGAAGATATTTTTCATGACATCCAACTTTCACATTCAAGGTCCAGAATGGTAGGCCGTTACGACGGTAAGACATGTGACGCCAGTGGTTTAACCTCAATTTTATTAAGCGATGCGAGTGCTTTGTTTGCACAAAAAAAACATAATTTACAACTTTATTTATGAAAATTGTAATTTATTTAGTTTGCACTGAGCACCAAAACAGCTTCTTTGATTGTTTGTTTTTCTTTCTTTTTTTTCCTTTTGGAAGATGGAACCATGGATGAACTAAAGGGGTAGTTCACCCAAAAATGGAAATTCTGTTATTAATTAATCACCCTCATGTAGTTTCACACCCATAAGACTTCCGTTCCTCTTCTGAACACAACTGAATATATTTTTCATGACATCCAATAGCTTTCTGTCTCTACATAGGCAGCAATGCAACTTTCACATTCAAGGTCCAGAATGGTAGGCCGTTAAGACGGTAAGACATGTGACGCCAGTGGTTTAACCTCAATTTTATTAAGCGATGCGAGTGCTTTGTTTGCACAAAAAAAACATAATTTACAACTTTATTTATGAAAATTGTAATTTATTTGAAACCTACTACAGCGCATGCGTGTAAAACATCCATTACGTAATGGATCTGATCCAGTACGTCAAGGCGCTACAGGCTGCAGCAATAGTTCATTACACTGTAGTCCTGAGGTCAATTTCACTCGACAACTCAGACGCAAGTTACACGGCAATTACACGGAAGGATCCGCTCAAAATACTAGGCCTGCATTGCAATTATCAACAATTGTTTGTCTTATATAAATGCTGTTTTCTCCTCTTTTTTTACTTAAAATGTAGTATTTCTTAGCTTTTTGACACTTTTTGCTCTGCTCCGCTATCAATCCTATATATATATATATATATATATAAATAATTAAGCAGAGGCAGGGATGCATAGACCAGATGGGGGGAAATATATATATTATGCTAAGTTTCATGACAGAAATCAGGGATTTATATCACTGTAGGTGGATATATCATGGCATTTTTTGCTTATTTTGTTGTAAATCTATATAAAAATGTATATGATATGTATGAGATATACAGCTACAGTGATATAAATTCCTGATTTCTGTCATGAAACTTACAGCAGTAGCTGTGTTTGTCTATTGTGTAATGGTTTTATTGTGTGTGTTGTGTAGGATCATGCACTGGGCTCGTCGCATTGAACAGGAGATTGACAGAGTCCTGCAGCACATCAGTGGCGCTCAACAACTGAAAGGGGTAAGACTGTGTGTGTGTGGCTTTTCCAGTATCTCTGTCAAACGTGTGCTCATTACCGTGGGTCTGGCTCGCATGTCAAACACCCACGAACAATGAAGAACTCAGACACTCCTGCAGAATATAATGATCCTGCCATTCCACCACCGAGAGGCTATAGCGTCTGAATGCATCCTGAAGCTCTGTGTGTGCGTCTGCTCACATCACTGAGAGAGAACAGATGGTTCGCCCCTCATTCATTTACCCAGAATGCCACAGTGCTGTAGACAGAGCGCTTCACTGCTGACGATGATCAATACAGGCATATAACCAGCACGTTTGTAGATGCATTATTTGTTAGGTCATCATTATTATTTAAGATAAACAGGTTTCTAATGATAACTAATGATCTTTTAATGAAGAGCCTCTAGAGCTGAGATTAACACCGGCGGGATTTTATTCAGCAGAAATACATCTGAACCATCCTGACCCTGGATAATGCTCTTGACCCTAACACTTGACCTCTGACCTCGACTTTCATCAGTCTTTGTAAGAGGAGTGTTTGATTGTCTCTCCATCTCTACAGACTCATTATATTTTTCTTAGAGTGTGCATTTGTGCATTTGTTTAATGCATTTTGATGTATTTATGCATTTTTTGTTCACATTTTCACCATTAAATATCACTGATAATGCATTACATTTCTTTGTTGTGACGTATTTCATTTATGAGGAGTAACATCATAGTTGGAAAAACTGAAAGTAAAATGAAATACAGGATGGAAAATTGTGGTGTGCAAATTGCATTCAGCTCCTATTTTGTGCCGTTGTCACATTTGCATATTTCAAATTCGAGAACCAAAACAATGCAAACAGATAAACATTGCTAAATAAAAGCTGAGTCTCGTTTTATCCAGCAGGACTAGATTGGATTGTGTAATTGCTGTAATATTGATTTATTTATTTATTTTTTTCTTTGGGATAACAAATTCATGGGCTTCATCTTGACTCATTGTCTTGGTTTAAATGCTGCGTCTGAAAGTTCAAGTTGTCAGTGTGTAAGTGTGCGTGTGTTTGATGTTCCTGTATTGATCTGAGCTCTAAACAGCTCTTGTTCTTGACTCGGAGGTTATTTACCGGGTTAATGAGGCTTCAGGCTTCAGTCACGCCGCTGGATTTTCAGCAGCTGTTGTCTCACACCTCACGCTGGAGCGCAAACACTCATTTACACAAGGTGGAATCACTGCAAAATGAGTTTATTTTTAGTGCGTCACGTCTGACAGGAAGTTACACGGGTTTCCCAGTGATGAGCATTAATAATGCAAAGCACAAACATGGAGCTCGCTCACCGTTTCCCCCAGCTGATGGATCCTCTTGATGGTATATTTAGTACATCAAGAGAATATACAGTATATGTGCCATTCAAAAGTTTGGAGTCAGTAAGATTTTTTTAAAGTAATACTTCTATTTAGCAAGGATGCATTAAATTGATCAAAAGTGACATTTACAATGTTACAAAAGTTTTTTTTTCCAAATCAATGCTTTTCTTTTGAACTTTCTATTGATCAAAAAATGCTGAAAATGATCATCAGAAATGTTTCTTGAGCAGCAAATCAGCATATTAGAATTATTTCTGAACGATCACGTGACACTGAAGACTGGAGTAATGATGCTGCAAATTCAGCTTTGATCACAAAAATTGATTACAATTTTATATATATTCAAATAGAAAACAGTTATTTTAAATTGTAATAATATTTCACAATATTACTGTTTTTACTGTATTTTTAATTAAATAAATGCAGCCTTGGTAAGCAAAAGAGACTTCTTTCAAAAACATTTAAAAAAATCTTACCAACCCCAAAGTTTTGAGTGGTAGTAGTGTATATATATATATCATGAAGAGGATGTTTTGATGATGTTTCAGATCTACAGTGAGAAGAGAAGGCAGTTCAGTCTGGTCAGAAATAACCCTCGAGAAATCGTAGAGAAAGTTGCAACTGACATCGAGAGACTGCTGGCCAAGAAACGCAAAGCGCTTGAGGTAAGAAAACACAAAATCACACACACATTTCCTTAAGGATCATTTTTGATGGTTCTGGTCTGTATTTTCCTCCAGAAACTTGCGAGTGAAGCAGAGCGTCTTCAGAAAGATCATCGGTGGCAGGATGGAATCAAGGTCAGATGACTTTAACCTCACCACTTCATGGTTTTTACGGTCACTTATGTGCATTGCACAATACTTTTTGCACAGTTTGAAATTTAATTTATCACATTGCTTTTGCATGTGTGAGTCATCTGAGTCGATTCAGACCAATGACTCCTGTATTGTTTCATCTGATTCATTAAAATGAACCGCACCTCTCGAGCGTTTCATTCTTGAATCGAACGCTGCGCTTTTTTTTCTTCATCTGCGATACTTGATGCTCTTTTTCCTCTGACATTCACATCTATGTTTCTCTGATCCGGATACGAGCTTTACAGACAAACACACACACGCTGTGAGTCATGATTTCTGTGAGTCTGTAGCTGGAGGGTCTGTTTAAACCCAATAGATTGTGACGTCTCGTTTTTCTGACTGATTTGACTCATTAGAGCTGTTCAGCTCGACTGACCACACATGATCATACAAGTGAATTGTGCTGAACTAAGAGTTTGTCATGTGGAGGACATCTGTATTTGAATCTTCAGGTTCTCGAACTGATCCTAAACAGCAGATTTTTGTATCTCTGTTCTGTGTGTGTTTATTTCAGGAGGAAAATATTGAATATTATAACTCTAAAGCAGAGATGGATTATGTGAGTACATCTCTATCTATCGCCCATGAGAAAACGACCGTAACAAATCTTACAATGCAAGACTTTCAGTGTAGACTTTCATGGTTTAAAAGTGGGCCTGTGAACTATTTTAAGAAAAGCATATGTAATGTAAAGGAAAATGATGCTTTTTTGGTATGTTTTTAGAAAATATTCATGCATTCATACACCATTTCTTTTTAGAAGCTGGATTCTCAAACTTCTAACTCCGAAAGTACTATTTTGCATGTTCATTTATCACCATATGACAATGATTGTGAAGATCAAACTCAAGCTGAAACAATGGACTCTGATTATATCATGATTCTCATCAGGACGGTGAGGACATTGATTCCCAGATGTCGTTGAAACTGGAGTTTGTGTACGATCCGAACTTCAAAAACCATGTGAATTACTCACACACCGCTGTCCAGATCCCCACAGACATCTACAAAGGCGGTGAGGAACCAGACTGATTCGATTAGATCTCTGTATGAGTCAATGAGAGTTCATGACGTATCTGTCTGTCGGTAGCTCCGGTGATTCTGAACGAGCTGAACTGGACACAGGCATTAGAGCGAGTCTTCATAGAGAACAGCAGAGACGACCCATCGTTGCTCTGGCAAGCATTTGGGAGCGCCACCGGCGTCACAAGATACTATCCAGGTAACTCTGTGCATGATGAGGCAGATCACAGTTTGTTTTGCGTGAATTGTGAAACCAACCAATCGGATTGCAGCCTGAGACCACTAGAGGTCGACCGATAGTGGATTTTGCCGATGCCGATAGCTAGGTTGGACCACACTGGCCGATACGATTAATCAATCGATAGTTTTTTAAAGGGGTCATATGACATTGCTAAAAATAACATTATTTGGTGTATTTGGTGTAATGCAATGTGTTTATGCGGTTTAAGGTTCAAAAAACACATTATTTTCCACATAATGTACATTATTGTTTCTCCTCTATGCCCCGCCTTTCTGAAACGCGTCGATTTTTACAAAGCTCATCGGTCTGAAAAGCGAGGTGTGCTCTGATTGGCCAGCTATCCAGTGCGTTGTGATTGGCCAAATACCTATTATATAATAATAATAATATAATAATATAAGCGTGTGACGGAAATGTTACGCCCCTTACCATACTGTGATATGCCCTGTCAGGCCAGAGCGACGAGACAAAAACATTAAAAACCATTATAAACAGGCATTTGTTGCATCCAGTGGGGACATTTAACAACTTAATCACTGATTTCTAGCTGTGTCCTCTATTGGAAGACCAAACAAAGTAGTTTCGCTTTCATAACGAAACACACAGCCACACACGGCGGCCTTAGTCTTTGCAACTTTACAGATCTTCTTTATGCAACAAGAGCTTGTTACACTCCAAAGAGAACACTCCAAAATCGCACCATATGACCCCTTTAAAATTCTGAATGGAAACTAAAATAGTGCTTCGCACTTGTTCCAGAAATGGACTATCGGTGCCGATTAATCGGCAAAACCGATCAATCAGTCGACCTCTAGAGACCACCACATATGTGCCAAATAAGTAACATATTTTCTTTTGTAGCTGCTCCCTGGAGAGCGCCAGATAAGATCGACCTTTATGATGTACGACGCCGACCGTGGTAATGCATTTCCTTTCAAGTGTTTGATTATTGTTTCTTTCAGTGAACCAGTAACTGCGTTTGGAGACTTCTAATCATTGGTCAAAGTGTCCAGTAAACCTACAGTAAATCAACTTTTTTATCCATAGTCAAACAGTTGATTTGAGCTTTGATTGGTCAGTTTAGGTTTGAGGGCGGGGCTTAACGGATCTTAATGCTTAAACTTATCGCTGTTTTCCTCAGGTACATTCAAGGAGCGTCCTCGCCCAAAGATATGGTCATCCTCGTAGACGTGTGAGTATTTGTGTATCCTGTTTCAAGCTTTACGTTTGCTTGGGTTTGTTTAACACTGACATCTTGCCCATTCACAGGAGCGGAAGCGTCAGTGGACTCACTCTCAAACTGATCAAAGCTTCGGTCATGGAAATGCTCGACACACTCTCAGACGACGATTACGTCAATGTGGCCAGGGTCAGTCAGCTACTTTTGATTGCAGGATTTTGAAAGTAGCTTTGATTTGATAGCCCAATTTGGATTTTCGTGGACAATATCTATCCGAGTTGTCCAAAGAAATGCATTATTTTACAAGAAACAAAACATTTAAAAAGAAATGCTGGATTTACTCAATATTTTACTCAAATTTCAAAGTGCATCATCCATTGGAAAAAATGACACTTTTGGTAATCAGCTGATAAAATATTCTAAAAATATTTGCAGACATAATGGAATAAAAATGCTTTAATTAAGCTAAATAAGTTAGTTATGTGTTAAATAATCACTTTGTTTTTTTTGTTGTTTTTTTTTAGTTCATGAAGCTGTATATTTACATTTTCTCTCTCTCTTTCTTGTCGTAGTTCAATGAGAAGGCCGAGGCAGTGGTGCCCTGTTTTAAGCACCTGGTTCAGGCGAACGTGCGCAATAAGAAGATCTTTAAAGAGGCTGTGCAGCAGATGCAGGCCAAAGGAACCACCGATTACAAATCCGGCTTTCACTTCGCCTTCAACCAGCTGCTCAATGTGAGTCTGAACACAATGTACACAACAACTCAATCGACAAAATCTGATGCATAGTATGCAGGTTACAGTCAGGAACTTACAATGGAAGTGAATTGGACCAATCTGTAAATGTTAAAATGCTGTTCAAATACAATAGTACAACCATAATATAAGTATTAACATGATTTTAGTGCAGAAAAATCACTTACTAACCTTTTCTGTGTAGTTATATCCATTTTTACAACTTCATTGCCATAACGGAACACCATAAACTCTAAAACAACTGTAAAAATAAGAATTTAATGCCTTTAAAATATGCATAAAACTTTTCGACTTCTTGAGTCAGTTTTGACATGGTGTAATTTAATCTTGTAAAACATCCATAACTTAATAATTTCGTATTAAAACCATATAGTACCTGATTCATAACATGCAAATATGCATAACATCACTTGTAAAGCCTCAGTTGATACCCGGGGCAAAATTATCCCGTAAATATGTAACTATTTTTTTCTTATGTCTCTTGAAAAATTATTTCAAAAAATGTGGAAAATATATATTTTTTGGTTATTCGTGACACATTTCCAAAATTTGGTTCCCATACTAAAACTATGCATTTTTTAGACATCATATACCTCTCCAAGGTCAAAAAGGACCTCAAGGCAAATCGTGAGTTAAAGGGTTAGTTCACCCAAAAATTAAAATTAGGCTGTGTTTTACTCACCCCCGATGCATCCTAGGTGTATATGACTTTCTTCTTTCAGACAAATCCAGTCGGAGTTATATTAAAAATTGTCTTTGATCTTTCAAGCTCTATCGTTGCACTCAGCGGGTGTTGCATTGCTTCAGTCCAAAAGACGTGAAATAAAAAGCACCCTTCCACAAAAAAAAGTGTCTCACACGGCTCCCGGGGG